TTTTATTTTGCTTTATTTTATTTTCACATTTTTTTTATTATATCTCCCGATGGACAGCATCGTCAATGTAAAGATTACAGTTCAGGAGTGCTAACTGCGTTCCAAGATTCCAAAGGCAGTCTCCAATCATGACTTTGCTTTTAAGGTAGTTTAGCTGAATTTTATTGAAAATAAGCTGAACTTCATAAAGTCACCTTTTAGGCAATTATTAGTGTCTCCTCAGTGCATAATGTTATTTAATGTGCTTTTTGTTTGGTTGGTGTGGTTTTGGCTTTTTACACCGTCTGGCTCTATATAGCCTGGGCTGATCTGAAACTCGGTTCACCCTGGCCTTGTACTGGACATAATCTTCCCGCCTCCTCTGTCCAAGTGCTGGGATTTCTAAGCACAAGGCCTCACACCAGCTGTGCAATGCTCTTTAACATGTGGTTCCTTGTGATCTTCGTAAACATCCTTCTGAGGAGGGTTTTGTCCCCATTTTACAGACTGGAAAGCTAAGTCCAAGGGGTGCTAAGTGACTCTTGGAGACAGAATTTGAAGAGCAAACTTCTCGTGACTATGCCACTTCTAGCAGAAATGCTAGTGTTTGATGTCCCCTGGAGGAAGGAAACAAAACGAAACAGTCTCTGACTGAAGAGATGAGATAATTGGTGGCTGAGAAGATCTGCCTATTTTTGAAAAATTTAAGAAGATAGCAATACTTTTTTGTTGTTGTTTTTGTCAGAGTTTTATTGTGTAGTCCCAGCTGTCCTGGAACTCACTATACAGACCAGACTGGTTTCGAACTCTGAGAGATTCCTGCTTCTGCCTCCATCATGCTGGGATTAAAGGTGTACTGCCACTCCTGGCTATAACTTCTTTTTCATGGGTTTATCTGAGAGTGCTAAACCGGAATATACCGGCGGAGAGGTCAATAGACAGTTGCACATGGGAGACAGAAGTTGGATGAGAATGCCCAGGCACAGCAGGCAGTGACCTGGAGCCAGAAAACACAAGAGGCAAATTAAACTTCTTAAGCCATGCCCCGAGCTAGCTACCTTGCTCACAACCTATGTTGTCAGCCCTTGCTCTTGGCTGAAGCTTTCAGGAGAGCTGTCAAGAAACAGTGACTGTAAAAAAGATAGCAAAGAGCGTCACCCAGGTTTACAGACCAAGAATTCCATCTGTCACACTCTGTGCCTGGTGTTAGGAGAGTGATTTTCATGTGTGCAGCGCCCTTGGGGGCCAGGCAAGGACATCAGATCCACAGGAAATGGAGTTACAGATGTTTGTGAGCTGGTGTGTGGGTGCAGAGAATAGAGCTCCAGTCCTCTGGTAAATCAGCCAGTGCTCTTAACCACTGAGCCACCTCTCCACTCCAATACTGTTACGGTCTTTATTTGTAGCAGTCAGTCATGGTGACTTTATTTTGTAGCAGTGCACACCTTTAATTCCCATACTTGGGAGGCAGAGGCACGTGGATTTCTGTGAGTTCAAGGTCATTCTCATCTACAGAGCAAGTCCCAAGGCAGCCAGGGTTATATCATGAGACGTTGTCTTGCATTTTTTTAGCTCACTGATTTTGCAGATAAGGTGGGAACAGTGTGAATGTGCACCTCAGGAGAGCGCACACGGGCACGATTTGTGGATCCCAGAGATCAAATCATAGCTGTCAGGCTTGACAGCAAACCCCTTTAACTGAGTCATCTTGCTGGCTCGTGTTATTTTTTTTTTAAAATAACTTATTTAATTTTATTTAATGTGCATTAGTGTGAAGGTGTCAGATCCCTTGGAAATGGCATTACAGACAATGTGGGGCTGGAAATGGAACCCGGGTCCTCTGGAAGAGCAGACAGTGTTCTTAACCACTGAGCCATCTCTCCAGCCCTCCCCGCAACCACATTATCTTTTTAATAGTCATTGTTTCACCTGTTCTTCGCCCATCAAACATGTTCTCTCTGTTGACTTCTGGGATTCAGGCTGGGAGTGAAGCAATTAGGGGTTATGGAAGGTTATAGGTAGGAAAGCAACAGGATACAACTTAGAATTTTGACAGAACTGCTTCTGAAAGGTTGGACAGAGATTGTCTAAGGAGGCGTCTAGGGCTGAGGCACATGAACCTGGTGAACAGCCAGGTTTGGGAACAATTTTTCAGTCCCAGGACAATAAAGAAAGACATGTACTGTCTTTAAAGTAGGCTAAAGGGCAGCCAGTTAGTGTGACCTCAGTGGTGGGATGGCTCTGGTAACCAGGTGAGAGGTGAAGAGAGAGACAAAGCGATGCACACCTGAGTCATTCACAGGTAAGAGGCAGAGCTCCACACTTCCTCCTTCCACAAGACAGCGCCTGCAGCGGCGGTTGGAGCCCGCATGGGCCTCCTGGCTGTAGAGGCTTTGGGATTTACTTTAGATAATTAAATTTTATTTATTTATTTTGTGTGGGTGTCCAGGCGTGTGTGTGTGGGGGATGTATGTATCTTGGTGTGTATCTCTTTCTTCTGAGATAGGCCTAATGTAGTCCAGGATGGCTTCATACCTTGAACTCCTGATCTGTTTTTCTCCTGCTGGGATTCCAGGGGGCCTCACCATAGCTGGCTTATTCATATTTAGATTTAAATATTTAATTTTAAATTATTATTTGTTTTTATGAGTATGGGTGTTTTGCCTACATGGATATCTGTTGCTAATGGTGGGCAGAAAAGGCATCAGAGCCCTTGGGAGTAGAGTTATAGATAGTTGAGAGCTGCTTTGTGGGTGCTGGGAACTGAACTCAGGTCTTTTGGAAGAGCAGCCAGTGTTCTTAATCACTGAACTACCCCTCTAGCCCTAAATATTTTATTATTAAAATCTTCTTTGGAAGCCAGGCGTAGTGGTGCATGCCTGTAATGCCAGCATTTGGGAGGCAGAGGCAGGCTGATCTCTGAGTTCAAAGCCAGCCTGGTCTCAAAACAAGTCCAGAACTACATCGAGAAACTCTGTCTCGAAACACACACAAAACCAAAATAAAACAACAACAACAAAAGGAACACTTTCAGAGGACCCGAGTTCAATTCCTAGCACCCATGTTGAGCCACTCATAACTGCCAGTAACCAGCTGGCCTCTAAGGGCACCTGTGCACAAAAGGTTACGTTTAACACAGACGTAAACACAAAGATTCAAAAAACATAGTTTTTAAAAATTAAAAATTGATTTATCCTTATGTGGTGTTTTGCCTGCCCATACACATGTCTAGGTGAGGATGCCAGATCCTCTGGAACTGGAGTACAGACAGTTGTGAGCTGGAAGGGTGCTGGGAATTGAAACGGGGTCCTCTGGAAGAGCAGCGGGCGGTCTTGACCACTGAGCCATCTCTTCAGCCCAACTAAACCTTAAAAAAAAAGAAACAAAACTGCTATTTTTCTGTGTGTTTGTGTGTGTGTGAACGTGGTGTATGTGTGTGGGAGTTATTCCCTTGAAACCCAGAGCCTGTGATTTTCTGCTAGGCTGGCGGGCAGCAAGCTCCTGCAAACCTCTTGTCTCTGTCCCCACAGCCCTGGCATTACAGGGGAAGGACAGGACACCAGCTTGTTAGGTGGTGTCAGGTTCTGAACTGGGGTGGGTCCTCATGGTTGCATGGCAAATGCTTGTCATCACTGAGCCATCTCTCCAGCCCCTGAAATATTTCATCTTCCTTTCTTCCTTCCTTTTCTTTCTTTCTTTCTTTCTTTCTTTCTTTCTCTCTCTCTCTTTCTTATTTTATTTATGTATTTTTTTTTTTGAGACAGGGTTTCTCTGTGTAGCCTTGGCTGTCCTGGAACTCACTGTATAGACCAGGCTGGCCTCGAACTCAGGGATCAGCCTGCCTCCCAAGCGCGGGACTAAAGGCGTGTTCTACCATTGCCCAGCTCATATGTTTCTTTACACTTGTTTTGCAGATTCCCATCTCCTCTCAAACTGTTCTCAAGCCTTCTAGCTTGCCTGTTCATAAAGCCAAGGAAGAAACAAGGGGCAGCCAAATAAAGGCTTACAAGTTTCGAAGCATTTTGTTTACTGGGACTAGATACATCGGTGAAGGAGTAGATTCGTTTAGACAGGTTCACGTTAGGAAGAGGAACAGCAGGCCGAAGGAAGGCCACTGGCTCACCAGCTTCTGTAAACCCTTCGAAGCTTCTCCCGCACCTGAGGACAAGGAGCTCAGAGGGTGACCCCATTTTTCTCTTCAAAGTTTTTACTGGGCGTCAGACAGGACAGTTCCGGAAACTATAATGAAATCATAACAGCTTGCGTGCCGCCTCCTCAAATAGTAACATCAACAACTTAACAGTAAAATTTACCAAATTCGTCTTCTTCCTCCCACCAGCACAGGAGACGGCAGTGATCAGAGTGGGTCTTCATGGCCCACCTTGGTCTCCCTTGTTTCAGCCTGGGTTTCCCAAGGAAATTGTCGCCCCCCATCTCTGGAAGTGGGCACCGGCGGCCAACACTTTCTCTTCACTGCCAAGTAGGTGAAGATTAAAGCAAAATGAGTCAAAGGCTACAGCTGGCTTGTGCCAGAGGAAGACTGGTCTGCCTGGGTATTCGGTGAAACCAAGGACTGGGGCGGCAGCGGTGGGGGGGCGCGCTTAGGAGCCAACCTGGAGCAGCTGGTGGAATTAAAAAAGGGGAGGGGACGAATTCGGGGCGTGCTTGGTTCCTTGAGGAAGACCAGTCAGAGACCAGAAGCGAATGAGGCCCAGGGGCGGGGCAGAGTTGACGCTTAGCTGAGATTGGATAACTGCCGAGGGCGGGAGCTGGTCTGGCACCGCCTGGGTCCCCAGTTTGGCAATTGGCGCTATATATCGCAGCCGCGGCGACCGCCGCGCGAGCGGCTGGTTAGCGGCGCGGGCACCAGGCTCCGAGGCCCTCCTGCCTACACACAAGTTCTTTCTGCCTTGGTTTTCTTTCCTTCTGAGATCCACTCCATCTTCCACTCCCTTGGCTCTCACCAGACCCCCCACCCACCCCGCCCCCAAGCTCTGAACCTCTTCGTCTGCAAAATCGAAATGGACATGTCCATGAATTTGTCACGTGGTTTAAGAGCGGAGCTGATCCAACCCTATAACTTCGAGATGTCGCGGGACCTAAGGCCCTTTTTGGAGGAGTACTGGTGAGACCTGGTGAGGGGGAAGGACCAACTGCTTTGAGGGGAGTGGAGACAGGGAATGAATGCCTGTCATGTTTCCGACGCCGCCCGGGTACTGGCTCAGAGCCCCCCGCCCCGTCCCGTCCTTTAAGGTACATCGCAAAGAGATTAGAGCTGGAAGAAAGGATCCAGGAGGGAGAAGGTGGGGGAGAGGGGTGTGGGAGGAGACAAAAGCAAAGAAAAAAAAATATATATATATATGGTAACTACAACTGAGGAATGAGAGTGACCTGAATGAAGCACTGTTAGGTGGCTCGCAGAGGGAGAGAGACAGACAGACAGACACAGAGACAGGGAGATAGACACACAGAGAGAGACCGACAGAGACACATACAGAGACACACAGAGAGAGACAGAAAGAGAGAGAACCTGCCTAGGACCAGCTTGTCCTACACAATTATCACGTTCCCCAAAGGTCCCATCTTCTTGGATGTAAAGATGAAACAGAGTTTGGAACCCTTCCAAAGCTTTCCCAAGGCTTTCTGTCTTAGCCCCAAGGCATTCCAGATGTGTTTTGTGGAGTGATTTTTTTTGTGTAGTCAACTTGTCATGAGCCAATCAGACAGAAGGTGTTGCTGCACGGCTCTTACACCACAGCCCTGGATGGAGTAGTTTTTGGCTGGAGGCAGACAACTTCCATCTGCCTGAGAAAGTAATCACAGAGATCTCCCGGTGGCCCTTGCCCTGCGCTAGGTGCTTTATACCCATGAATGATGCTAAGTGTCACCCTCAACACACACACACTTCCCCAAAATGTCACAGTGCTGGCACCCCAGGCTCCAGGAGCCCCTTGAGGGAGATGAGTGGGCATTCCTTTAGGCAGTGCCCACTGTGATGCCACCTGCTTTCTGCTCTCCAGGGTTAGCTCATTCCTCATAGTGGTGGTCTATCTGTTGCTCATCATTGTTGGCCAGAACTACATGAGAGCACGGAAGGGCTTCAGCCTGCAGGGGCCTCTCATCCTCTGGTCCTTCTGCCTGGCCATATTCAGGTAAGGCTCTGCTCTACCCCATCCCCTGCCTAGCCTTTAGTCCCCACCTCTCCATTTTATTCTTCAGGGCTCCTAAAGTCCTTGGCTGCATTGGTTTCTTTCCCATAGTACCTTGTTTTTCTCTTTCTTGGGCCCAAGATGACAGTCTCTGTTCTGTTCTATCCCTTAAAAAAAAAAAAAAAAAGTTTACTTTCAAAGACAGGTTCTCATGCTGTATCCTAGACAGCTCTAGTAGCCACTGTATAACTGCTGTCCGGTTCCAAATTCATCACAGCCTCCTGAACACAGCCTCCCGAGTTCTGGGAATACAAATTCTAGGCTCTACTCCATTCCATTCATACTCATAAAATTCTCTCTCTCTCTCTCTCTCTCTCTCTCTCTTTCTCTTTCTCATCTGTCTTCCAGGACAGGTTTTCTCTGTATAACAGCCCCAGCTGTCCTGGAATTCAATTTGTAGACCTGGTTGGCCTCGAAACTCACAGCGAATCACCTGCCTTTGCCTCCTTAGTGCTCAGAGTAAAGGCGTGTGCAAACGTGCCCGGCCCAACACATTTCTCTAGCCTTAAATATCTCAGTTTCTAAATTGCTCTTCAAAGGCCGCCAACGACTCTCCCAGCCCCTCCTCTCCATATTCTTTCGCCCACTTCAAGAACCCCGTTCTTGACTTTCAGTTTCACCCCTCCCCCTGTATTGACTGACTTTCTCTCAAGCCTTATCTCCTGGGCAATACTTGTTAGATCCACCAGATTGGCTCCAGGATGGCAAAAGCTGTAACAGCCTGCCTTCAGGCCAGCGACGAGGTGACAGGCGTGGAGAGTTGATCCCGATGGGGATGGGCCCTTACAGCATCGTGCTGTCTCCCTTCAGCATGCTGGGCACAGTGAGGATGTGGGAGTACATGGGAACCGTGCTGTTTACGCTGGGCCTCAAGCAGACCGTGTGCTTCGGCAGCCACACGGATGCTCTCGTAGTCAAATTCTGGTCCTGCGTCTTTCTTCTCAGCAAGATCGTTGAACTTGGTGAGTGTAGAGGCTTTGTCTCTGGTGCCCAGTGAGTCAAACTCCTCCTTAGAGCTCTTCCCTTTCCCATCGTGTGGAAAGTCCCTTCCCTGCCCCTAGGTCCCAGGGAGCTCTGTCTCCCCCTCCCCCCCGGGCAGCGGGTGGTCTGCGCACCGGGTGGTGGCCAGCTATGACCTCCTCATCTCTCAGGAGACACGGCCTTCATCATCCTGCGTAAGCGGCCACTCATCTTTGTGCACTGGTACCACCACAGCACAGTGCTGCTGTTCACGAGCTTTGGATACAAGAACAAAGTACCTTCAGGTGCCTGGTTCATGACCATGAACTTGGGTGTACATTCCATCATGTACACCTACTACACCCTGAAAGCTGCCAAGGTCAAACACCCCAGCATGCTTCCCATGGTCATCACCAGCCTGCAGATCCTGCAAATGGTAATGGGAGCTATCTTTGGCATCCTGAATTACATCTGGAGGCAGGAAAAAGGATGCTACACAACAACAGAACACTTCTTCTGGTCCTTTATGTTATATGGGACCTATTTCATCCTATTTGCTCATTTCTTCCACCAAGCCTACCTCAGGCCCAAGAGCAAAGCTAAGTCCAAGAGCCAATGAGAGTTGGAAAGAAAGAGGGAGCCTGGGGCTTTCCTCCATAGCACTAAGGGTTAGGTGTGGGAGAATGACTAGGGTGCCTTCCCTGTATGGTTTCCCCCATGGGACATGTACCCCAAAGTGGCAGGGAGCTATGACAACCAAGAAATGGCACCCTTGGAATAGGGGTGTGGTCTGGCACGATGATGTTTCTATCTTCAGCGTGAAGGAAAAGCAAGGAAGGGGATAGGACGGAGGTCCTTAAAGTTGAGTTATTTATATTTATATTTAGAAATCTTTCTCTTCTTGTTCTATTTTTTAAATTAAAGAGATCGACATGAGTTTGAGAATTTGTGGACTTAGAGGACCAAAGTGAACTTTGTGGTGGGAGAAGGCTGCTAACAGGAACTGATCTGCGGGTGGGAAGCCTTAGGGTGTGTGGAAGGATGGAGGCACACACAGACACTCAAAAAGAATCCTAGGCCTGGTCGGCGCTTAATAAATGTCTGTTACAGACTAGAATTTTATTGCTGTTAGAGGCCCAAGCCTCTGAAAGAACAGTGAGAAACAAAGGCTAAAATCATAGTCTTCCTAGGACGCAAAATCCCTGCAAAGTAAACTTTGGAGACCAGACCTACCAGCTGTCCTCCTCGTGACCACGAGGTGGCGTCACAGCACCATCATAGGACGATGCCTGCCGACTAGCTGGTCACACACCAAGCTTCACAATCCTTTACCCTAGAAGACCCTGCTTCCCCATCCCGGAGGAAAGGAGTGAGCCTTAGCGGCCTGGACGCTCACTCCGTTCCTGTACATCCAGCTGTCCTTTCGGACAACGGGAGGGATGAAGGGAAGGAGGCGTCCACCGCAAGTCTGAATCATCAGGCCTTCGACAGTCCGCGCACGTTTATTTCATTGATCTTTGAAAACGGGGGTGGGGGTTGTCTGGAGAAGGCGGGATGGGCCAAGGGTGAGTCGGCCCTGGGAGGCTGGTCCCTGTTCCTGGCCTTAGTCCCGGGGGCGCGATCTCCGTTTAGGGGTCAGACCGCCCCTAGGGGCTGTGAGGGGAGAGGCCCTCTTCGAAGCCTGCCGCCCCTCTCCGGGTGCCCGGGCACACCTTTCAGACCCCGGGACGAGGGCGAGCCAGTCCAGGCGACCCCTGTCCGGGAGGCTGCGAATTACCGCCCCGCCCTCGGGTTTGATCCACAGACCTGCGGCTCACACTGGCCGTTCCACGGCGTACTGGCAGGGGCTAAGGTTGGCGGCCGGAGGTGGCCCGGGCACGGCGGGGTAGCTGAAGGAGGCGTGCTGCTTGGCTTTGAGCCGCAGGCTGGCCAGGCTCGAGTTACACGGGTCCCGGTATACGTAGGGGGAGGAGGCGGCGGCGGCGGCGGCCGCGGCCGCCGAGGCGTAAGGGCAGGACACTGCCCCGGAGGACACGGCGGCCGGAGCCAGCCCGGGGGGCGCCCCGCCCAGGCCCTGCAAGGCTCCGGGACCTGGTACTGTGCCCGGCGCGGCGGCGGCCGAGGGCACCATGGAGGCGGCGATGGAGCTGGGTGGTGAGAACACAGGCTGCGAGGCCAGAGGCCCCACGTTGACCGAGTTGAAGGCGAACGGGAAGGTCTTGGCTGCGAGCGGCGGGGCGAGCGCCTTGGGCGGCCAGTTGCCGTACGAGTAGCCGGGGTACACTTCCTCGTAGGGCGGCACCAGGCCCCCGAGCGGGGCTGCGAAGCCGCCCTTGCACAGCTCCGCCTGCTGGCTGCGCTCCCGCTTCCGCCACTTGGCGCGCCGGTTCTTGAACCACACCTGCGGGCGAAGGGGAAACGCTGTCAGGGGGCGGGGCGGCCGGGGGGGGGGGCCCGAGGGGCGGGGGGCAGCACGGGGAGCCGACGGGGCGGGGGGCGCCGACAGGGCGGGGGCAGCAGGGGGTGCGGGCTGGGGGGAGGGGCGCGCCGAGCCGGCCCCCCCCCCAGAAGGGAGGCAGGCGGCCGCAGGATGGTTGGGGAGCAGATCGGGGCGGCAGGCAAGGCAGCAGGAGGGTGGGGATCCCGGGGCCCGAGGTGGGCCCGACGTGGCACCCGCAGCCGCAGAGCCACGGCCACTTCGGGGTCGTCGCTAGAGCCAGGTGCGTGCAAGGGGGGGCCTGCGGGTGAGGCGGGGCCATACCCGCACGCGGGCCTCGGTGAGGTTGGTCCACACGGCGATCTCCTCGCGCGTGCTCATGTCGGGGTAGCGGTTCCTCTGGAAGGTGGCCTCCAGCTCCTGCAGCTGCTGGCTGGTGAAGTGCGTGCGCTGCCGCCGCTGCTTCTTCTTCAGCGAGCCGTCCTCGGGGGAGCCGCCCGGCAGTGAGGCCGAGGCCTTCTCCGAGTCTGCGGATCAGAATGAGGCGGGTCACGGGGCGCTGGCGCCTGTGCGGATTCTCTGGCTCCGGGACCTCCAGGAATTCCTCAGCCTCGGGCTAGCTCTCGCTCGGGTTGACGCTCCAGATCCCACCCCCATCAAGGCTGAACGCTTTCTCCTCCACCACCAGAAGGGGGCGCGCTCACCACTGTGCTCCTGGCCCTTGCATCCGTGTTCTGGAAGCGGAGGGTGTGGAGTGCCAGCATCTGACAGGGACAGGGCAGGGCTCCGAGCCTCCGCCTCACCGAGCAGCCCGAACTCCATGGAGGGAGGGCTCTGAGGACAAAAAAAAAAAAAAAAAAAAAAAAAAAAAAAAAAAAAAAAAAAGACATATATTAGGTTAACAGAGGCAAAACCCAGGGGGTTATGGATACCCTGACGTGGTGCATGCCTGGGATCCTAGAACTCAAGAGGCAGAATCAGGAAGATCGTTCACGAGTTCTAGCCTAGCCTGCTCTACATTGTGAGGGTCAGGCCAGCCAAGAACACACAGTGAAACCCTTTCTCAAACAAACCAACAACAAACACTTTGATTTATCAGGCCCCTAATAGGGTTTCCTCGTAACAATTTTGCCTCTTTTCTCACCCACTGACATAAAGCCATCCCAAACGGTGTTCTCTAGGATAGAGTGTGTCAGGGAAGAAGAGATGGCTCAGCGGTTAAAGCTACTGACTGCTCTTCTCGAGGACACCACTTCGATTCCCAGCACACATGGCTGAACAGCTCACAGCTACCCGATACTCCAGTTCCAGAGAATCCAAAGCCTTCTTCCGGCCTGCCCAAGGGACTAGGCGCTCTGGCGCACAAACATATATGCAGGGGAGACACCCATACACTGAAGAAAAAAAAAAAAAGTTGAGAAAGAGAAGCCAAATGAGAAAAAGGTGTAACCTGGGGGTTGGATGCACACGGCACATGTACAGCATGTTCACTAACTGCTGGGCCTACTGTCAGAGCTGTTCCGTTCTGTTTGTAGCTCAGGCTGGCCTTAGTTTGTGATCTTCCTCCATTTTTGAATGCTGGAATTACAGGCCTGTGTTACCATGCCTAGCTAAGTTCGTTGTATGGATGGATGGATGGATGGATCAATCTGTTTGTTTTGGTTTGGTTTTTAGACAGGGCTTCTCTGTGTAGCCCTGGCTGTCCTAGAATTCACTCTGCAGACCAGGCTGGACCGCAACTCAGAGCTCTGCCTGCCTCAGCCTCCCACAGACTGGGACTAAAGTGCTGCGCTACCACCACCCCTCCAGCTTTTAAGGATTTTTTTTTCCAGTTTTATTTTTAAAAAATAGAATGTTTAGCCGGGTGTTGTGGTGCACGCCTGTGATCCCAGCACTCAGGGAGGCGGAGGCAGGAGGATCTCTGTGAGTTTGAGGGCAGCCTGGGCTACAAAGTGAGTCCAGGACAGCCAAGGCTAGACAGAAACCCTGTCTCAAAAACCAAAAAAGTAACAATAATGATGATGATGATAACAAAAAATTAAAATAGAATATTTGTTTAGAGCCAGGTGTGGTAATATAGATCTATTATTCGGAAGAGAGAGGGTCTGGAGTTTAAGGCCAACCTTAGCTACATGAGACCCTGTCTCAACAAACAAGTGATGATTCAGTTGGTAAAGTTCTTGTCATGCAAGCGTAAGGACCTCGGTCTAATTTTTTTTTTAGCACCCACATAGCACCACTCTGAAACCCCAATACTGGGGAGATAGAAACAAGAGGATCCCAGCAGTTTGCTGTCCAGCCAGTCAAACTGAATTGGCCAGCTTGAAGTTCAATGAGAGCCTCTGTCTCAAAAAACCAAACCAAACCAAACCAAACCAAACCAAACCAAACCAAACCAAACCAAACCAA